CACAGGCGCCCGCCACAACGCCCGGCTATTTTTTGGTTGCAGCCGTCATTGTTGTTTGGCGGCCCGGGCTGGATTCTAACCCGCCACCTTGGGTGTATGTGGCTGGCACCTTAGCCACTTGAGCCACAGGTGCTGAGTCTCCTTAGCTTTTTAAAACTCATTCATTAAGGCCTTTGAATTTGAATGGTTGTCAGGCCAGGGAGGACCTCACATCTTGACTTTAGCATCTCTGAAGCAAATGTTCCTGATACAAAGTATCTTGAAAATCAGTAGCCTGCATAATGATGTTTTTTTTTCCTATGTTTTAGGAAAGTTATCTGGCCGTGCCACTGAAGATTGGCTTAGAATCAAAATTGGAGAGCCTCCAATTTGTTTAAGATGTGCTCCTTCACCAAGCATTTTGGTTTATCAGCACTAGTAGTTATGAACAGTCTTCATATTTACCTGACACAAACTGTCAAGCTGAAGGGGAAAGGTTGGTCTCAAACCCTATGTGACTGCCTTCTGCCCTTAAGTCTTTCATAGAAATGATTCAAAAAGCACAGATAGGTTAGTGATCAAGAACAACAGTCTTGGTTCCACCATACTGCCACTACCTGACTCTGGGCAAGTTTCCTCTCTTTCATTCAATCAACTGTTCAAATCATAGCTCAGCAACATTGTAGCTATGAGACCTTGTTTAAGCTATGCTAAGCCTCCATCCCTTCTTTGTAAATTGGAGATACTAATTGTGCTTTCTCCAAGAGTAGGCATCAGAATGAAGTGAAATGATCTACATAAAGTGCTTAACATGGTGCCTGGCATATAATGCCAGCTTTTCATTCAATTTTCAATTAATGAGCACTTACTAGGTTCTAAACATGGTGTGATACTCTAGGACTACACATAAAAAAAACCTCTGCCAAATAAAATAATAAATATAACAATATAGTTATAGATAAAAATAATAAAATAAAATAAAAGCAGCCAAAATAAAAAGTGACTGATTTCCTTAAGCCAAATATGCAATTTCGGTTGGGCGCTGTGGGTCACACCTGTAATCCTAGCACTCTAGGAGGCTAAGGCAGGTGAATTGCCTAAGCTCAGAAGTTCAAGACCAGCCTGAGCCATAGCAAGACCTGGCTGTAAAAATAGCCCTGGACAGCCCTGCTGTCCCAGCTACTTGGTAGGCTGAGGCAAGAGAATTGTTAGAGCCCAGGAGTTTGAGGTTGCTATGAGCTGTGACACTGACAGGGTGACAAAGTGAGACTCTGTTTCAAAAAGAAAAAAACAAGGCCTGGTGCCCATAGCTCAGTGGTTAGGGTGCTGGACACATACACTGAGGCTGGCAGGTTGGAACCCAGCCCAGGCCTGCCAAACAACAATGACAACAACAACAACAACAACAAAAAAAAAATAGCTGGGTGCTGTGGCCTGTAGTCCCAGCTACTTGGGAGGCTGAGGCAAGAGAATCGCTTAAGCCCAAGAGTTTGAGGTTGCTATGAGCTATGATGCCACAACATTCTACCAAGGGCGACATAGTGATACTCCATCTCAAAAAAAGAAAAAAAAACATTTAGGCAATTTTTACTGCCTCATATTATCCTCATAACAACTTGCAAGACATGCATTATTTCACCACCTTGTAAATGAAGAAACTGAGTTTGGTGAGGTAAAGCTCAAGGTCACACATCTAGTAATTAGCAGAGCTGGAATTTGATCAGTGATCTATCTGAGTCTAAAGCCCATCTATTCAGCCTTACTGGAAGAATAAAACATATATGCCATCCACAATTTTGAGGGGAAAACATGTATTAAACAAACAACTCATATCAGTACAGTATACCTAACATCAACTTAGCACTCTATGTACTAGGCATCGTTCTCATTCAGTTCATCTTTTAACAATCAGCTGTATCAGGTAGATGTTATCATTATGCTCCTTCTTACAGATGGAGTGGGAGTCCAAGTTGCTTGCCAATATAATCCACATGCATGATGACTACCACACTCTAGGGCCACTCTGGAGAGTTAGCAATATATGAGCAGTGTGCTCAAGCTGTTCTGAAGAGTAACAGTCATTATGCTTGTGAGAATCTGAAAACCTTTCCTAAAAAAGATGATATGTGAGCTGGAAGCTATACGTAACAATGCACCAGGTTGAAAAAGGGAGATGGAGGGGAAAAGATAAACCAGATAGAGGAAATAACATGTGCAAAGGCACATTCTCTTTACTGTCTAAACTCCCCTATCCTTTAAGCACAAGGAGGTCTTTAGTAGGTCTGTTACAGAAGACTCCCCATTTTATTTTTTCATGTCCTTTCACCCATCCCTAACACATCTTCATTCACCTTTCACATGCCATCTGTTTCCACTTCCTCGATCTAATTTAGGTCCTTATTGTGCTCTGGCCTGAATCCTTGCAATAGCTCCCTCCATTTTCATTCTCTGCGCCCCTCCAGGCTACACACAGTTGGAGATTTGAATTTTCCTAAGTACAGCCCTCATCACCAAATTTCTGGGCCTATGAAATCTTCAATTCTCCCATTTTTTCCAGAGTAATCTGAACCATGCAGCCAGCCAGCTATTATCCCGAACAACGCCTTGACCTATCTTTTCCACTCTCCTACCACCAGCCTTCTTCCACACTAACACTGGCCCTCTAATTTTGGTGCCAATCAGAACCACTACCCCTAGGACTTATTAAAATCCACATGTATATGCTTGGGCACATGTATATGCCAGATAACACGGTGAAGAGTTATCTGCTTCACCAAGTTGGGATTATGTCCCAGACACTTTGGGGGGGGGGGTGTTGTTTGCTTTCTATGTTGGGGACATCCGTATTAATAGGTGTTTCTAACACACACACCAAATGTTACCAACTTCACCTAATTTTAGCAAACCCCTTTATGCTTTCTCAGCTAATTCGGGAATTTAAATTATTCCTTCTCCCAGCACCTCCTAATTTTCAAATTCCCACACATCCTTCAAGACCCAGATGAAATGCCACTTCTAGGAAGCTTTCCGGCTGCCTCCTCACTTTGACATTTTGCAGAGCTTTTGTTGGGGCACCTTTTGCTGGAAACGTCCGGCCAGCCAAGGAGTTCCCCCTGGACAGGGAAGGACGGCCTTCATTTGTCAGTCTACCCCAATCCCTATCCCTCGGGCAAGACAAGCAGTAAGTGCTGGGGGATGGTACGGTGGGATCGCTGTCCGAATCCCCAGTTTTACACGCACGCCCAGGGCGCACACACGCTACAATCCCTCCTCAGATGCCCTGCCCTAGCTCTGAAACCACAAGGCATCCGCAAAACCAATCTGCTTAACAGTCGTCCCGAAGTCAGAGGGCTAGAAATTGCGCTAGGGGTGGGAAAGCAGGAGAAGGAAAAGAAAAAACGTGAATCGCTCAGAATACGGAAAAGGACTGATCTCCCAGGATAGAAGCCGCAACGTAAAGAAGGGACGCGAAAAGTACGTCACTCGTGCCGCCCGCTCCACCCCTGACGCTCTTCCCGGCATCCGATTGGCTGCTCCTCGCACCAGCGACCCCGGCAGCCCACGTGACCCTATGGCTGCTGTGGGATTGGTTGTCTGGCGAGGGCCCCGCTGGGATGTGGGACTCCGGCGGAGCAGCATGGCTAGAGCAGGGGACTAGGGCGCGGGAAGCAGGTTGTGGCCCGGGACCCACAGCCACCGAGGTTGTGGGTCCGGGCAGGCCTCCCGAGAGAGTCCAGGAAGTAGGAGTTTTAGGAATTCGGAAAGCGGGTGCAGACTTCTGACTGGCTGTTTGATTTGAGCCCTGTCTCTGGTCTCAATCTTGTTTCTCCGCAAGGCTTACTTAAGTTTTTACATTATCCTATCATCATCATCACTATTTTAACGGTCCACTGTATGTAAGCCCTGGTGGTTCTGCGCAGGGAGCCTGCAGAGCACCTTGAGTTACAGGCTGGGGGAATGAAGACTTGAAGAAGCTTGAAGCATGGTCTTTACATCAAATGTTGGAGGTAAGTAGGCTTTATTCATTGTGCTGATGCTTTTATAATCTAGAAGCTTAGTGTTTAGTAGGAAGGGTCGCTCCTTGACTGCATAAAACTCACTTACTGATCTGCCTTTTGTGTACCAGACATCATTGTGAGTGTGCTGGCAGCAAAGGCCAGTAAAACACAGTTGTGGTTCTTTAGGAACTCTCTGATTGGGCTAGTGGGGGGAAGAAAACGTGGACTGCTGAGTAGTTGGCGTGTGATGCGTGCTGTGGTGGAAGAAACTGCTGTGGAAGTCAGAGGAGGGGATGGTTGAAGGAGTTAGGAACTCTTAAAAGACAAGGCAACGTTTAGGTACAGTTTTAAAACTATAATTAGGCATTCTACCTATTGAACGGGAGTGGGGAAGGCCCCGTTTTTGTTCATTTGTTCCAGATGAACAAAATATACTGAGGCAGAGAACTAGAAAATTGTTATCTGCTGTGTATGACTGGAGCACATGGGGGTTTGTCCAAGCACCAAAATGAAGCTGATAGGGGGTAGAGTTATAAAGATCTTGAATTCCATTTTGGGCTGTCTGTTTGGATCTTCAAATGCAAGTGAAATAGGTACCACAAAACTGGCATTAACCTGCTTGTCTAATTCAACTTCCTGTTGGGTTGATGGAGAAAATCTTGCTGCAAAAGGTGGCATTTTGGAGGGTCACAAACTGGAGAGATTTTGAAGTACATGGGCTTCTACAGAGAGGGAGAAAGGCTTTCTGGATGGAGATCCCAAGGTCAAATAGAGCAGGTTTGACGACTAAGGAATAGTGTGAGTTGGTTAGACTGTAAGGTACATGTTAGAGTTAAGGTGTTCCTGAAGGATAAATTTAGGTCAGTTTTGAAACATGATTGCTAGGCAGAGTAGTTTAGACTTTATTTCCTGGACCATGGAGAGCAATCGAATGCTTGTTGAGTAATCACACCTCTATATATTGAGGTTAACTATATGTGTAATCAGGGTATGTAGAATGGGAGAGAAACTGGAGACAGGAGACCCAGTAAGGCAGCAGTAGTGTCTGGTAGAATGAACGTGGGCTTTAAAGTCAAGCAGTCACTGGTTCCGAGTTTGGCTCTGCTCACAAGTTTCATGATTTTAGATAGTGTTATCTAAATTATTAAGCTTTCCTTGTTTTTAATGTGTACTTATTTCACCTGCAGAGAATGATAACCTAAAGGGACAAGCATAGCCCTTGTGAAACAAGCTATTTCATAAGTTAGTTTCCCTGTCTGGTGAACACAAACCAGTATCTGTCAGATTTTAAGTATAGACTATCAGTCTATTGACCTTTATAGATGGCTGAAGTATATGGTGGCTGCAGAATTGTTCTTTAGATACAATATCATACTGAAAATCTGAAGTAGGTGATTTTGTGATCCTGGTTCTTTTCCATATCAGCAATGATATACAACCAGAAGATATTCTTTAAATCAAATAAAATGCAGTCAGCTTTCTCATTCGGAAATTGATTACTCAGGTTGTGAAATACCGAGGCTTTGGTTTGCTTTATCTGGCCTATGGCTTCCCTTATAAATAAATGTAAAGCTGTGAAGGCTATGTTAACCAGTTTGATGAAAATGTTTCAAATTGTATATAAAATCAGCACACTGTACCCCACGATTGCATTAATGTACACAGCTATGATATAATTTTAAAAAAACGTAAAGATAGGAACCTTAAAAAAATAAAATCAAATTACACCTCTTATTGGAAAAATATAAATCTGATAATCATATCTAAGTTCTCCTTCCAGTTCTGCTGTTAATTTGCTATGGACTTTTGGCAAATCATAGCCTCTCTGGGTCCGGGAACTCTTAAAATAGATGTATCTGGTATAAAAATGTCATGACTACTTTTGGACAGTGCCTGTGGGTCAGTGAGTAGGGCACTGGCCCCATATACCCAGGGTGGTGGGTTCAAACCCAGCCCCGGCCAAACTGCAACAACAAAAAAATAGCCAGGCATTGTGGCATCCCCTATATACAGGTGTATAGTCCCAGCTACTCGGGAGGCTGAGGCAAGAGAATTGCTTAAGCCTAAGAGCTGGAGGTTGCTGTGAGCTGTCTTGCCACGGCACTCTACCCAGGGCAACAAAGTGAAACTCTGTCTCTAAAAAAAAAAATTCTGAGTACTTTTTATCTTTGTTGGCCATAGAATTGTAAATTGTGTATTAAATCAACTGGAGCTGACTTTACAATTTAGTAGGGAATCTTTGCTAAAGCTTTTGCTTTACAACAAGGCTGTAAGTTTCTTCATGAACATGCCTGAGATTTTATCATGTGTGGTGTTTGGGTTCATTAGGAAAAAAAGTTTCTGAATGCAAATGCTTCTCGTTTTCTCTGTTCAAAAACAAAGCACCACCACCTCCAAGAAACAAAACTTGTTCAGGTTTGCATTTTCATATATCAGAGTTGCTTAAAGGAAAGCATAGTGGAAAATGAAATATTAATTGAAAACCTATGATTAAAACTTACCTGAAAAGAAGCCTTCATCTTTTTCTTAGGTAAGCTACGTTTTCCTGGATGTGAAAATAGGGCGTTGCACTGCTCTTAAGTAATACAAGAAGGTGAAACTCAGTGATGCGATGATGAGTGAAGTAGAGTCTGACCTGGTACTGCCACTGCTTCAGTGTTGGCTTTGACCAGGGTATGATCCCTTAATCTTCTCTCTGAGCTGATTCTGGTTGTGGTTTTTCCACACAAGTCTCTTGTAACCTATTTGGATACTGGTTTTATTATGTGTGTTTCTACTATATTCATTTGAATTACTTACACTTTCATATTTTCCTTAGGTTGAGGTGAAAAATCTGGCTTTGAAATCTTCCTGGAGGACCACATCATTTCAGTCCTGAATCTGGTTCAGTTCTTTTTTTTAACTTAATATTGCATTAAAAATGTTTTGCTAATAATTAACTGTGGTATTTGTTTTGGTAAAACCTTTGAGAGCTTTAACAAGAATTATTAAAATATTAGTTATTATGTTTTTCTTTTGATATATAAAAAATTCAATATTTTAAAATCTATAGCATATACCATTTCAAAAGTTAGCTTTGTGCTATCAGAGAATGTACTCTGGATTGCTAAAATGAGTTAAAGTATTGGAAAACACCTATCTCAGCAGAGGCATTTAGAACTTGTCATCCTTATGATTTTTTCTTTAGCCCATATTTTCATCAGCCTGCCATTTAAAACACCATGAATAATCTTCATATTTCCATATAATCATAACAAGAACAGTTCTTTGCCAGAAACATTTATTCTTAAAATTTACTTCATTGTTTCATAGAAACTTTAGTAATAACCAGAATAATTCAAGACAGTTTAGCAAACTTTTAACAGCAGAAAGAGCTTATTAAAAGAACTTTTTTTTACATAGTTAGTGTTTTATTTCATCTCTTCATTGCTTGTTAGTTTTGCTTTCTCCAAAGAAAGATGTATGGCTCATAGGGCATCTTTACAAGTTGATAAATGTGTCGGCTCGGCGCCTGTGGCTCAAGTGGCGAAGGTGCCAGCCATGTACACCTAAGGTGGCGGGTTTGAATCCAGCCCGGGCCCACCAAACAGCAACGATGACTGCAACCAAAAAAAATAGTCGGGCGTTATGGCAGGTGCCTGTGGTCCCAGCTACTTGGGAGGCGGAGGCGGGAGACTCACTTGAGCCCAGGAGTTGGAGGTTGCTGTGAGCAGTGAAGTCATCTCTACCCAGGGGAACAGCTTGAGGCTCTGTCTCAAAAAAAAAAAAAACAAAAAAATTTGTCTCCTGGACCAGGATCCTCTTCCATGACTGTGGGCTGACCCTATCTCTCTAAGTTGGATCTTGGGTACAATTTCCAGAATGACCTGAGCCAGGGCTGCATTTCAATCTCTCCAGCATTTCTATCCTCACGCCCAGAGTTTGGCCTTCCTGTGCATCTGTGATCCAGATAGTCTCAGAAAGGAACCATCTGTGGAGAAGTTGATAGACTACAGCAGATATCAACAAATGGGTCACAGTATATGGAAGGAGCTTTTTTTTTCCTAAGGTGTTTCTAAGCAATTCTATAAACAGGTCCATGTTTCATATAGTTTGCAAAGTGATAAAATTTCCACCTCATAGGCAGATAAATGCTTTCTTTTCTAAATAGAAAGCCTGGTTCCCACCTTACCACCTACTTTATTTTTTTTGTGAACTCTAACCCAGGTTTTTTCTGAGAGCTTCTATACCTCAGTCCAGCAGTTCTCAACCTGTGGGTTGCGACCCATAGGAACTGTATTAAAGGGTTGCAGTATTAGGAAGGTTGAGAACCACGGTCTTATTCCTTAAGGGATATGCAAATTTCTGTACTAATTTTCCTGTTTATGTACTTCTACACTGGCCCTCACATCCTCTGCCAATACAGATTCTCCTACTTCAGCCAGCTTGGTCAACTATAAGTAGGGTTCTAAAGGCCGGGCACAGTGGCTCACACCTGTAATCCTAACACTCTGGGAGGCTGAGGTGGGTAGATTGCCTGAACTCACGGGGTAAGACCCCGCCTCTAAAAATAGCCAGGCGTTGTGGTGGGTGCCTGTAGTACCAATTACTTGGGAGGCTGAGGCAGGAGAATCACCAGAGCTGAAGAGTTTGAGGTTGCTGTGAGCTATGATGTCATAGTACTCTACAGAGGGCAACAAAGTGAGACTGTCTCAAAAAAAAAAGAAAAAGTAGGGTTCTAGAGAGCAGGCCAAAAAGTTGGGATCAAATGAGTATATCCTTCTAAAGAAATCCATACAGTTGTTAAAGTTCATATAGTTATGAGTTGAGGCTGAGAAGTACCAATGTTGTGTACCATGCCGAAAACCAGCCCTATGGCCTTATAGTGCAATACTTTTGTTGTGAGATAAGATGCTAATCCCTTTCAGTTCTCCGGGGAGTACAGTTTAATCAGATGTTGTACTTCTGTTGGATAACCTGTGATGGGACAAGCTTGGTGACTCCTCACATAATTAAATACACAGCGATAACAAAATACATAGCCAGAGGTGGCAAGAACAGTATCATTCACCCGGGTTTTACGGCACAGTGGGCACACGGTCTTCAATTTGGGTAACAGGGGAGAATCAGAGTTGTAGTCCAGGTGTACAGGTGGTGGTGGAGAAGGCAGGGCAGTCAGTGATTTTATGGTTTCCTGATTTTCAGATGAGTACCACCAGTCAAGGAACTGCAGGAAGAATACACCCACAGAAAGGCCAGTAGAGAGAGATAAGGCAACGCCCCCCACAGCTTTCTTCAGAGCTGACTTTATCTTCTCCCTAACACTGTTGGGAAGAGAGAACAAGTAGGCAAAGAGAAACTGTTTATTTAGGTTTAATCACAGAACGTCTCATGTAAATGCAATTCATACTTCTGATCAGAAATCACTGATGTTCTGGGAGACTAAAAAGTTGCTAGATTGGCACTATCTTCTTAGAGATCTATTCTAATTTATATCCTCTTTTTGACTTACTGTATTTTAGGAGTATTAAGAGCTAAGCTTTGTTTTTAATAATAATTAGGATTTTGGCTGGGCTTGTTGGCTCACACCTGTAATCCTAGCACTTTGGGAGGCCAAGGCAGGTGGATTGCTTGAGCTCAAGGTTTGAGACCAGCCTGAGCAAGAATGAGACCCCCTCCTCTAAAAATAGCCCAGCCTTGTGGCTAGTGCCTATAGTCCCAGCTACTTAGGAGGCTGAGGCAGGAGAATCACCAGAGCCCAAGAGTTTGAGGTTACTGTGAGCTATGATACCATAGCACTCTTACTCAGGGTGACAAAGTGAGACTCAGTCTCCAAAATAACAACAACAAAATACAATTAGGGTTTTGTTTTGAGAAAGAAGTTAGTTGAGAATTTGGTTACATAGACAGTGAATCTAGAAAAATAAACTCCCGGGCGGCACCTGTGGCTCAGTGAGTAGGGTGCTGGCCCCATATACCAAGGGTGGCGGGTTCAAACCTGACCCCAGCCAAACTGTAACAAAAAATAGCTCTGGGCCTTGTGGCAAGGGCCTGTAGTCCCAGCTACTCGGGAGGCTGAGGCAAGAGAATCGCCTAAGCCCAAGAGCTGGAGGTTGCTGTAAGCTATGATGCCGTGGCATTCTACCAAGGGCAACAAAGTGAGACTCTCTAAAAAAAAAAAAAAACTCAACAAGAAATAACAGTATTGATGAATATATATTTAAACTCATAGGAGAACACAAACAATCTAGAAGTAGTACAACATCATGTTTTTGTTTTTTGAGACAGAGCCTCAAGCTGTCCCCCTGGGTAGAGTGCCCTAGCGTCACAGCTCACAGCAACCTCCAACTCCTGGACTCAAGCGAGTCTCCTGCCTCAGCCTCCCAAGTAGCTGGACCACAGGCGCCTGCCACAACGCCCGGCTATTTTTTGGTTGCAGCTGTCATTGTTGTTTGGTAGGCCTGGGCTGGATTCAAACCCACTATTTTAGGTGTATGTGGCTGGTGCCCCAGCCACTTGAGCCACGGGCCCTGAGCCACAACATCATGATTAAGATAGTCTTGGGCAGTGCCTGTGGCTCAAAGGAGTAGGGCACTGGCCCCATATGCCAGAGGTGGTGGGTTCAAGCTCAGCCCTGGCCAAAAACTGCAAAGAAAAAAAAAAAAAGAGCATCGTCTTGGCCACGCACAGTGGCTCAGCTCTGTAATTCTAGCACTCTGTGAGGCTGAGGCAGGAGGACTGCTTGAACCTAGGAGTTCAAGACCAGCCTGGGAAGAGCAAGACCTCATCTATACTAAAAATAGAAAAAGTAGTTGGGTGTTGTGGCAGGTGCCTGTAGTCCCAGCTACTCAAGAGATTGAGGCAGGAGGATCACTTGAGCCCAGGAGTTTGAGGTTGTTGTGAGCTATGATGACTCTACCACATTCTAGCCTAGGGGCAAGAGAGTGAGACTCTATCTAAAAAAAGACCACACGCACATACAAGAATAACCCCATAATCTTTACAATTGTCTTTATCTGATTTAAATCTCAGCTCTGACACCTGCTAGCTCAGCGGTTCTCAACCTATGGGTCACGACCCACAGGAACTGTATTAAAGGGTTGCTGCATTAGGAAGGTTGAGAACCACTGTTCTAGCTGCATGGCCTTGACAAGGTACTTAGCTGTTAGGGCTTAATTTCCTCAGCTGTTATTTTGTTCTTATTTTTTGAGACAAGAGTCTCACTCTGTCACCTTGGGTAGAGTGCCATGGCCTTACAGCTCACAGCAACCTCAAACTCCTGGGCTCAAGCCATCCTCTTGCCTCAGTCTCCCAGTAGGTGAGACTATTGGCACTCGCTATGATGTGCTGTCTTTTCTATTTTTATTAGAGAGGGGGTCTCCATCTTGCTCAGCCTGGTCTCCAACTCATGAGCTCAAGCAATCTACCCACCTTGGCCTCCGAGAGTGCTAAGATTATAGGCGTAAACCACTGAATCCCACCTGGCTTCCTCAGCTCTTAAATGGAGCTAATACATTCCCCTCATTAGGCTATGATGAGGACTGAAATAATGTACATAAAAAAAAACACTGGGCAGCGCCTGTGGCTCAAAGGAGTAGGGCACTGGGCCCATATACTGGAGGTGGCGGGTTCAATCCTGGCCTAGCCAAAAAAACCCTGCAAAACAAACACCTAACACATGGCCTGGCATATAGCAAGTGTGCACTAAGATGTGCCTATTATGGGTCAGAATGACAGTCCTTGTTTATGGCCACAAGAAATAACTTTTCTGTGATTCATGAAATACCACGAAGTAGACTGAAGGAAGTTCATGACATTGGGATAAGATTTTAGAACTTACTAATGAAAGATGTTTTGAAATGCTAAGGTCTTACCTCCTGGCTGACTGCTGCGTTATACTGGCTTCAGCTGCTTTGTGCTCCAGCGCTTGTATATCCTCAACTGTCAGTCGACCTAGCCGAACTCCAGCCAGTCTAAGCAGTGGTGAGTGATGCTGAGCTTTTCCCAGGATGTACTGAAGTTGTTGTACAAGAAACCAACCTTCCCAGGCCATGTTAACAAATGGGTAGGCTGCCAAGAAGGCTCTGTAAAATCGTTTCCAGTGGGAAGAAGGGGGGTGAATAGAATATTCATCCTCTTCTCTCAGGCTAGAAACCAGCTTCTCCAGCTTCACTTTCAGATAGGGAAGAAGAACTAAGAACATAATTGATTTCCAAAGCTGCTTCTTTGGGAGACCAGCACTGGCCAATCTCTGATACCTTTGAGTGTCCCCCATTACAATTCGCTTTAAGCCATAAAAGTTTTCAGAAAATGAGGCACTGGTTTTAGACAGATAATGCTGCTGGAGCAGAAGATCTAGCACAGTAAAGATTTCATCAAACCACCTCCAAAAGAAGCCATAATGGGTAGGATTTGATTCTGCAAGAACCTAAAGCAAAATAAATCAATACATGAAATTCATTACACAACTAATTGTTATACCTTGTATTTACATTCCCCCCTTTCCTCTAAATTCTACACACTTTCAGCTTAAATAAGTAACTTCTTATTATAACCTGAAGTAGTGGGTATTCACTACAGGTCTCTACCCAGAACAAAGACTCAATAATTTTAAGACATAGGATATTAATTATATGTAAATTGGTTATTTCAAACCTTGTGCTATTAAACACAAATTATTGGTTTGGTTTTTACCCAGTCTTCCCTAAAACGTTTCGAAGAATCAAAACCTTACCTTGACCACGTGCTGAAGAGCAGGTCTCACTGCTGTCATTAAACTGTCCTGTGCTACCACCTCAAAGATGGATGGCTGGTCATCCGCCACTGAAGCAGTTGTGATGTGAGCCCCATGCTCAGCCATTGTTTCCTGTGTGTACTAGCTTTTACTTTCACTTTCCCCACAAATTCTCTAGTAGGCATGAACTTTTTTTTTTGTATCAAATTGGTGCTTAGTCTTAAAAGTAATCTTGCAAGATACCTGAAACTCCAAACTTTCGATTTTACGGAGGAATTCTGAACTAGGGAAAAATCTCGTCTGGAGTTGAGGAAGGGAGGGGTCTCAAAGAGGTTAAGAACGAAATCAATTCGGATGTTGGTGGAAGTGGTACGTAGGGAGGGGGTGATCTGTCGAATCCGCACCTCGGCGCAGAGCGTGACTGTCGGGGACAGGTATGGGCGAAGGAGCTCTGTCTTCTCGAGCTGCGAACCAGGGAGCCTCAATCGTGAGGGCTCAAAGCCACCCGACTCTGATTAGGTGCCAGTGCTGGCTCGAGACGCCAGGACCGGCTCCACCTGTCAGCTGTGAGTACCCCCGACTCGCGCCCCGTCCTTGCTCGCTGACCCTGGGCGAGGCGCGAACGACCCACGACGCCACGTTGGGACGCAGGTCTCTGCTTTATGACAGAAGCGGCACCCGGAAATAGAAATCACATGGACTTCGGGGACATCGGGCGGAAGAGAGGCGCTCTAGCCCCGAATGCGGCTCGGAAGCCACACCAGAAAACTCTATGACCCTATCTGAACTTCCGCCCCCGCTAAAATTAAAGACTGTATTTGCGCTCGTGGTTTAGGCGACCAACTCTCCTCTGGTTGATTTTGCTTTTGTAGTAAGTGTGTGGAAAGCCATAGCTCTGATCCTCTGTGCAGAAGTCTCTCTGGCGAGGTGTTTGGCGCCGGAGCCGGAGCTCGGGCCAGCTTCAGTGGCTGGTGCTCTCGCGGGCGACTCAGCCGGGGCGGAGGGAGAGAGGGTGCAAAGTACTTTGCTGGACATTCGCGGCGGGGTTGGTGGGCAATTTATGTCCGGCCACCTTCCGGAAAGGAGTTGTAACACAGCAGGACATAAAAGCCTTAACTGTATTGCTACCAATTATAAAGATGGTCAGAATGAGAAAGTTTCCTCCCTGTTCTTCAAAACTAAGGATGCTTACTTTTCATCCAAGGTGGTAGCGCAACTCTTTACAGCTTTTGGTTCCATTCAAGCATAATTCCAGGCACGTGCTATACTAGATGAAAATGATTTTCGCCCTCGTACACAGCTTTGTCACATTAGTGGTATGAATACAGTGCTAAAGCAGAGGGCTCCTAATGAGTTCTAACTAGTATGAACTGGGGAGGCTTGGCAGATAAGGTGCCTTTCATTCACGTTTTAGGCCAAAACTAATGTAATTGACCTAATACAATTTTATTGAATTTAGATGAAAGTTCAACCTCCTCTCCCTCCCCTAACCCTTCTCTCACCTTTGGGCTAAATAGAAATAGAAGGTATTCACTTCTTTAGAGGGACCCCCCCCCTTTTAATTGATCCCAGTGTACCCCCACAAGAAAGTGAGGAAAGTTAAAAATTAGAAACGGTAAACCGAGGTAATGAGCAACAGGAAGCCGGCCGCCTCACTGGCGCTATTGTAACCGGCTGGCCCAGTGTCCAGTTTAAAATTGTTCTGTTTTTTCTCCTTGTATAATTGTTCTGTTTTCCCTCTTCTATAAACTACTATGTAACCACAAGTGCCATAAACCGATCCACTTGCTCCCTTGCCCAAACTGCACGTAGCCCCTGATAGTAGAGATAATTTACCCTATGTAAACCCTTTCCTCTTCACAGTATTGTTCCCTCTGTATCCACGTAGAAGGGCAGTCGGGGCCAACCTAATAAAGATTCCTAAATTGGCATCAATTAATTGGTGTTCCCGGTGGTCTTTTACTCTCGCACTTGTAACAGTACCTTGGGCTATGAAGATAATCTGTTTGCATAATGAGAACCCTCAAACAAGGTTTGAGTTAGTCGTTTTTGTTTCAATAGGAGATAAATGAAATCTTGTAAGTTACCCTCAATTATAATTCTTAAAAATGGCTTTTACTCTACAAAAATGCTTGTCAGAGAATGTCATATTGATATAAGATTTTTACCTTATGGCGTTAAGGACCGGAGATAATGTATCTATATAAATCACTTGGTGAATGTTAGGTGTTCATTCAATGGTAGCTATTATGTACAAACTTAAGTGGATGGCAAATCCACAGTTAGGAAATAATGTCTACTAAAATAAACAGGAGGCTGGGCACCTATAGCTCAAG